CTTTTTACCTCATTGTTTGAAGCTGACAAGTTTGATGTTTAACGTTTTCAAATTTACACAAATAAAAGTACTATCTGAGGAGACAATCCTACAGTGTATGCAGGCACAAAACTCTCACTGATGTTGGTAGGACTTACAGGCTACAAGACTGGGGCCTCAGTGAAAAGATAATGTACAGCTTTGGTGTTTTTATCTGCCTTTCGCCAAGATGCATGACAAATTTGTACTAAATCAGAACCTCAAAATATTCCAATACATAAAAACAGGAACTCTATTGCATAACACAGGAAAAACTAGACAAAATTCGCCATACAACAGAATTGCTTCAGAAGCAAGAACAAACATTATTTAAAAATGTATAAAAACAGATGGAATATTTTTAAATGTTCTAAGAAAAAAAGCCAATTAAGAATCAATAATACAGAAAAAGGAGAGAAACTAGGACAGTTCATAATTATTTTTTGCAGATTAGGGGGATAAAAGTAAAAATAAACTAAAAAAACAAAATGAAAACTCACCGAGACTGTATATTCCAACAGTAACTGCATGTGAGGTTTGTGCTGTTCTATGTTAGCATCTGCTGGTGCTGCAATGAATTGCAGTCCTCAAGTGTAGATAAACATTTCTTTCCATGCTCCTGATCCAAGTCCATTGAGATCAATGGTGCTCTCTCTGTGGTTCACTGGCATGGGTCAGCTTGCCAGATCCAGGCCCAAGACTGACCACTCTTTGTGGCCCCAGTCCTGCCATTGAGTCCATGTGGGTTCCGGGGGCTGTTCACTTACAGTCATTTGCAGGGTTGAAGCCTAAGGAGGGAGTTGTCTCTTTACTACAAAGGTCAGTTTTACTCCTCTTAAACACACCCACAAGTGGGTTTTTTTTGGCTTATAAAAACAATGAGGAGTCCGGTGGCACCTTAAAGGCTAACGGATTTATTTGGGCATAAGCTTTTGTGGGTAAAAACCCCACTTCTTTCGTCCGTAACAAAACCCACTTCTTCAGATAAACCCACTTCCTCTTTCGTGGGTAAAAAACCCGCTTCTTCAGATGCGTCTGAAGAAGTGGGTTTTTTACCCACGAAAGCTTATGCCCAAATAAATCCGTTAGTCTTTAAGGTGCCATCGGACTCCTCATTATTTTTGTGAATACAGACTAACACGGCTACCCCTCTGATACTTTGTTTGCTTATGTTACTCCATCAACTTTCAATTAACTTAATCTGGCTATGCAGAGGTCCCTTTTATGAAAGACAGGAATTCTGCTTGCTCGGGCTGGTTTTCCCAGAATCCCCCTTTCTGGTATCTGTATCTTAGCCATTGCTACAACCAGGTAATGCACAAACTGCAAGAGGTTTAGTTCACAAATGTTTCTGGGACTGGTGAGCAAGAAGAATTCAGAATACATTGAAATTCCATTGAGAAATAAACTTTAAAAAGTTGGGGCTGAATCTACAAAAGTGTTTTTAGTTTTGTTTTGTTTTGTTTTTTGCTAAGTTACTATTTGAAATCTTTACCTATGAAATTAACCTTTCTTTGAGAGACTCAGTGATAAGGAGATGAATTAAATCTTATACCTCAAAGGGACTGAAGAAACATGTAAATCTTCTACTGACCTTGATTTTGTTTAATCTGGAAATAACAGCATGCAGCCAAGGTTTTCAAAAGTGACTGGGGATTTCAGATGCCTCAATTTTCAGGAGCTCAACTTGAGACATTTTCAAAGAGCCTGATTTTCAGGGGACGGATGTTCAGCACCTTTTGAAAATCAGACCCTTTTAGGGTTCTCATAGATTCATGAGGCCAGAAGGGACCATTATGATCATCTAGTCTGACCTCCTGTATAATCCAGGCCAGAGAACCTCACCCAGTGATTTCTGCATCAAGCCCAGAACTGCTCTCAGATCTTTTAGAAAGCCGTCCAGTCTTGATTTAAAGACTTCAGGTCTTCTCTAATGAAGAATCCACCATATCCCCAGCTTAATTATTCCAATGGCCTGAATTTGTCCCACTTCAGATTTCAGCCAACGGGTCTCAAGTTGGGAACCCCAAACTGCTAATCACTTTTCAAGATTTTGGCAAGCATTTATCTAGCACCTTTATAATTATGTTTATGCCACACTGTGCAGCCTTAGCCACCGGCCAGCACATGCTGTTCTGCCCAACGGTGGCAGGAGGTGAAATGTTAAGCCAAAAATATCAGGGCAAGTCACTGCCCTTAAAAAAATTCACCCCAAGAACAAGGTGAACACGTTCTTTGCTCAGTTCATCTTTGGCCAATAGAGTTAGGGCGCTGGGGAAAAGGCAGGAGAGCAGCATTCTGGAACACTGTATGAACCTCAACACAAGAGAAGGGAAGAAAGGGGAAAGAAGTTGGTGACTCCCTAGGAATAATTATGGAAGGAAGGGCATGCACTCTGGAACCTAGTTCCCTATAGCTTGTTGAGTTCTAGGATGTCAAGGCAGAGGACCTCATCATATGACGAAAAATTTAGCAACAGAGTTCCCCAAGGAGTTTGGGCAAGAGAAAGCCATTACTGAGTCTCACTTTGCGCCTGCCCTGTAAAACCCTCTCCTGCAATTTGTTAGGTTGGGTCAGGAGATTCCTATTTGGAGGTGCTAACTTGGTTCAGCATGAGCTGTATAGCAGAGCTCACCCTTCCTCCTTGCAATTACCAACACCCCTAAATCACGTCCCTTCCCCTCTCGTTGTGACTCCAATCCAAACCCCCTCCCTGCTGCAGAATCCTTCTGCTCCCCCAGGTACTCCCTTCCAGCTCTGGAACATTACATGCCATCTTCCCCACTCCTACAGCAATAACCTCCTCACTCTACCCTAGGCACTCAGGTATCAAGGCACAGTTATGAAAACCTAGTTATGATAATCATACCCTATATATATATGTAGTTTTGTCATTCTGAGTGAGAGAAGGAGCCATATGTCATTAGAATGGTAAATATCCTAACAAGTTGCAATACAAACTATACATAATGATCAGTTTACCGTCTACTGAAATGCTGCCACATCTGGGATGAAAGACAACAGCTTGTTAAAAGCGAGTAGAAACAATATACAGCATGTTAGGGTAGGAGTGGAAGAATACCCTAGTCTACTGAAACACCAGGGAGTTACATTACAGAATATAATGACCAGTTTGCAAACTGGAATTTGAAACGGACACTGGGATTAACGTGTCTGGTTTTGATGAAAAATGAAAAAAGTGCTCCGAATTTACTTAGGCTTTTCTATCAGCACAATGGGTAAAATTTTCATAAGCACCTATCTTCACAACCTTAGTTTTACATGCCGTGTGAATTCCTCATAGGACAGTGCCCCTGTACCACCCTGTGTTATTGAGTCAGGACTAGCACAGAAGTAAGAACACCCTCAACACTGCCCACTGTAGCACCAGGGTGTTCCCTGGTGTTCCACCCATGCCTAAGGTGAGATATCCCACAGTCAAAGTACTATGTGTCAGAAGCTCACAAGAACCAGTCAGGGTTTAGCTTTGATTGCCCCTCATGTTACTCGGCAGGATATTTGCACACCATGAAAACGTTTTTAGCACTTCAAAATATTTACACTGGCTTAATCATTTTAATGATGTGCTGTGATCACAACAATCCCTATGCAGGTCATTTCTCCGAGAGATAAGTGAGCTTGAAGGCTTTATGTGCCTTCATCTTCAGTACATGATAAATAACTTGCATTGTGGTCAATTACCTCACAGTGGAACCTCAGTGGTGAGAACCTATGGCTTAATTAATTCCAGTGATTCCTTTTGGTGATGTTGATTTAAAACCATTACTATTTTTCAGGAAAGAATAAATAGGTGCATAGCTCATAAAAGCAATGAGGACTCCATCGCATTTATTCTTTTTTTTAGCAAGGTGAACTGATCACACAGTTTAGAAGCGCCTAAACAGGGAGAACATATCTGATATGAAGGGGGTCTTTAAGCTAGAAGACAATGGTGTAGCAAGATCCTGGAACTGGAAGATTAAATTAGAAAAAATCAAATTGGAAAAGATAAAAGTGAGAGTAATTAAACCCAGAAACAACTTATCCAGGGAAGTAGTAAAGTCACCATCATTTGGAGTCTTTAAATAGATACCGCACATCTTCCTAAGAGAGATGTTCTAGTTCAACCACAAGTTATTGGGCTCAGCAGTATTTACTGCTGGAGCAGAAGGAGAAATTCCCTCCACTGCAGGAATCACTGAATGAAGGACTCTCGCCTGGACTATCCAGGAGGTCAGACTAGATAATCAGCATGGCACCTTCTGGCCTTGAGACCTCCAAATATAATTTCTCATTCTAATTATTTTTCTTGTTGCACACCTGAGCTTACCAACTTTAGAGGTCAACATGCAACATAAGAAGAACATAAGAATGGCTCTACTGGGTCAGACCAAAGGTCCATCTAGCCCAGTATCCTGTCTTCCCACAGTGGCCAATGCCAGGTGCCCCAGAGGGAATGAACAGAACAGATAATCATCAAGTGATCCATCCCCTGTCGCCCATTCCCAGCTTCTGGCAAACAGAGGCTAGGGACACCATTCCTGCCCATCCTGGCTAATAGCCATTGATGGACCTATCCTCCATTAATTTATCTAGTTCTTTTTTGAACCCTGTTATGGTCTTGGCCTTCACAACATCCTCTGGCAAGGAGTTCCACAGGTTGACTGTGCATTGTGTGAAGAAATACTTCCTTTTATTTGTTTTAAACCTGCTGCCTATTAATTTCATTTGGTGACCCCCTAGTTCTTGTGTTATGAGAAGTAGTAATGTCACAGAGAAGCTTGGCAATAAATCTTGCTGCCATTGAAGTTAATAGAGGTTTTTGGCATCAAGTCCAATGGGAATCTGAGCTGGCCATGGAAGTATTGTGCATTGCAGTCCGCAATCTGACCGATGGAAACAAAACAGGAACTAAAGGATGTCCTCAAGAAAATGGATGGGCTAATATCTCATATCTCTTTCCCTGACATGCTAAACAGAGCATGGCTGTTGTATTAAACCACATCACCACCTACTGCGTTGGAAACCTCTTAACTATTGACTTAATCTGTATGATTGCTTAGGCAAAAGGAAGGAATATGGAGCAGATTTGTTGAGAGCAAGAATATATTTCTTTAAACTCCAGGCCGGAGTGTCTGAACACATTGACGATTATAACAATTGGTTAATTTCACTTGATTTTGGGAGGGCAGAGTTGCAGTTTCCCTCTTGCTCATCCACCCCCAGTAAAGGACAATTTCTGTCCTGCAGAGAGCATGGAAGAAAGGGTATGAAAAAAATACCTTTCGTGGTCCTGATTGCCGCTGGAACATTGGCTGTTCACACTGAATGTGGTCTTAATCTAACTACAAAGGCTGAATTATGTCAATGGCTAGACCAAAGAGATCCAGAGGCATTCTACTATATTAAACCTCACAATGTGCCTTGTAAGGCTTTTACCTACCTGAAGACAGCAAAAAGCCAGATTCATATCTCAGCGTCTTGAAAAAGGGCCTCTAACAGGTATTTATATTAGAAAATAATTCACTGCATTTTCAAAGGCTTGGAGAGGGTTTAGGAGTTGGTGAGATCAGTGCAGCTAATCCTTTGAAACCCTTTGCAAATGGAGGCCGTAGGTAATGTCTGAGTGGGGCTAGGAGATCCTGTTTTAGATTCTGTGGGAATGAGGCTTTTAACAGTGCAGGAGATACTGATGGGGGAAACCTCAAAGGGTTTTGAGAGCCAGTTCAGATATTGAAAACTTATTCAAAGTTTGAAAACATTTTGTTCTGGAAATCCTGCTGAAGAGCTCATGTGGTCAGGCTATTTGCATTCTCTTCTGGTTCCTGAGATCACACAATGTCCCTTCATCAAGGCTGAGAAACTATTTGTGAACCTTAAAGCCAGTAACTGGGCCACAGTGAGTACAATGTTCAAAAGAGCCCTCAGCTGATTTAGGAGCCTAAATCCCATTTTCAACAGTGCCTTGGGGCCAGATTTAAAGGTACTTAGGCATCTAAATCTAAATGTATCAAATTAGGATTAATACCTTTGGGGTATATTGTAGTCAAAATGTGTGTGGGGTTGGGGCATTGTATGTACCTTCTCCAGCAGGGACGGGGGATGCTAATAAACCATTATCAGCCTCTGAGGCCACTTCCTGGAGAGAGATGCATATACTAGTTCAACCTGGATTCTCCAGCAGATACTCTTGGATAAATAACCTGTGTTTAGACTGGCTCAGGGCCCTCTTCCTGATCCAGCAAATGGACAAGACTGCTGATCCGTGGAGGGCCCCAATCCTTAGGGCAGAATTGGAAGGCCTGGGCGCACTGAGGCCTCAGACTGGCTGCTTGTTCTGAGCTGAAACTGTGATGAACTTGTTACCACAAAGAAACCCCTAGGGTGGAGGGGGCTGTTGAAGGTTTTATCCTGCCAGAACCCATGTCTGAGCTGGGCTGCACTCTGGTAGGAGTATTAGCGTGCATGTAGTGTTTTCTCTATTCTGAAGGTGAAAAGCATTATAAAGTAGGCTTGCTTAGAAAGAGCTGTGTGGTAACTTATATCTGCAGCAATCCCTCGGTGCTCAGTCTCTGAAGAGAAAGCAAGCAGGCCTGTTTAGGCAGACTGTCTTTGTAGGGAAATACGTAGTGAAGGCAGGGACCTTTACAGCCTGGGAATCGTCTGCTCAGAAGGGAGAGAGACACAGGTCAGCCCCAGAAAGGCAACATCTGTGGGTGCCCTGAACTACAGAGGGGAATGTCAAGTGCAGGTGCCCCACGCAGCAACTGAATGGCTGGTTCAGAGCTCCTCTCTCTTTAATGGACACCAGACTGGCTCATCCAGACAATCCTTCGGCTGCAGTTTGATGGCTACAGAACCGTCACATCTACTGTCCCCTCAGATTCCGCCTGCTGCCCCTAGTCATAAGAACCCTTCCCCATTTTCATCCGGCCACCCCATAGTGTTAAGCAGGGTTCCTTTTGCACTCAGCTCTTCCTCACCTGAGCTGTGATAGTTTCTCTAGTACATGTATGTCTATGCCACTCCTCAGCCTACACTGCTCCCCTGCAGGTGCTGGGTTGTTTCCTCCGAGCACCCACATGGAGGAGCTGTCTTGCATCCCTACTCCCACTGCTACTCTACCTCACTGCACAGCAGCCTCTCAGATACCTGCTCTCTGCTAGCTTTTCAACCCCAATCACAGCCACTCTGAGGGGCACCTGTTCCTATGCCCAGCCCAGCAGTATCCTTGGTCCTAAGGAAGGAAGCAGTCTCACTGGATTGCTGGCTGTGCTCCCAAGAAGGTAGGTTTTCCCCCTTAGGAGCAGCTTCTTCAGGGTCTGCTCAGCTCACTGAGTTGTGGGGGAGTCATACCTTCCCCTGCACCCTCCTGAATTTTTAAGAGCTGGGGAAAGGGCTCCTGTAGCTCACCAGACTCACAATACCTGCAAAGGTATAGTATTTCAATCAGCCCTCAGACAACCTGGAATAAGTAACCCAAGCCTTCTTTCCCTGATCTAATCTGGACTGGCTAACATGGCCAGAACTATATAGCCTAGCCTAGCCCTGCCCTGCCCCCTTCTGATAGACCCACTGCTTTGGGAGGGGAATTAGTCTATAAATAGACTGCCTTCCACACACACAGTTTTTGTTGGGGGGGAGGTAAAATGAACACAGTTCTTGCAATAGAAAAATGGCACCAGTTAAAGAAAGGGAGCCAGGCATGAAAGAACAGCTGGAGTTAAGGGCTGTTAAATGTTAGGATAAAGAAGTCTGCAGCCTCTCTCTCGCTCTTTAACCAGCCTAACAAGTTAGGGTGTGTGGTAGGGGGAAAAAATGAAAGCATTCTAGCTTGCTCCTTCAGATAAGAGGCATTTCAGGTCCTGCTTCATCCTGCAAGGTGCCTCATGGGTGTAGACCAACTTTCAGGATTAGAACTTGTGCATCTTTTGCTCTTTATGTAGAATAATAGGTAGAAACTGCAGGGAAACACAGGGATTCCAAATCACCACATTTACTTAATACATGCAAGCTACTGAGGCCTACCCACATAAACACGCTGGTGCTTTGCCTGGTTTCTAAAACCTAGGACACGGGGAGTGGCACTAGAGGACTCACAAACTATTTAAAGGAATATTATCCAACTCTTCTATGGCCTAGGACTACTGTGAGGCTCTTGAGAGATTTAACACAAGATTCTCCCTCCCTCCCTCCAGCCATGATTGTTCCCCAAATATACATAGAAGAGACATGAATACAGAACTAGGAGGGGAGTTTCTCAGGAGTCCTGCTGCTTTCAATGGCCAAAAAAGGAAAATCGCCTGAGAAACACTTGAAGGAACATGGAGTAAAAAGCCAAATATTAGTTTGTTTCTAAAGGAACTATTGCAGTAGCTCTAGCTCTACCATATTCCCTGTAGTTAAACTGCCTAATGATGCCAGTGAGGTGTGGCTTGTTGGAGAGTCATTTAAAATCGCCTGCTCAATTCATACAGAAATCAAAGAAGGAAGAATAAAAAGTAAAGCCGGCTAATCTATGCACCCTTGTTTTTAACCAGCCCTCTTGCCATGGCACTCCCTGATCCATGGCTTGACCTCATTGAGACCATAAGCTCTTTGAGGCAGACATTGTCTTATATATTTGTACGGTACCCAGAAAAATGGGGGCCTGCTCCAAATTGGGGCCTCTGGATGCTACCATAAAAGGCTTGCCTGGCCCTTTACAGAGAAGTGCAAAAGATGAGCCCCTGCTCTGAGGAATTTACTATGCTAAGGGGCGAGTGAAATGCATTGACCCCAGATTTCCCTTCATGCAGGGTTAAAGGAAGCAAAAACTCATTCTGGCTGATTCTGATCTCAGTTACACTAGTGTAGCCCCGGGGGAACTCCACTGGAACCAATAAGATGACACTAGAGTAAATGTAGATTGGATGAGAGCAGCTTTTGGTCCATTAAGATGGATTCAGTTATATCCCCTCCAGGAGAGTGGGCAATGGAACCATTTACTCCGATTCTCTGGTAGGAGAAGCCGGGCTCTTTGTCAAAGCTCATTATGTGACTAGGAGGCTCATTAAAATGAAGGACTGAGTGATGGCACTGCCTAGGGCTATGTATCAAGTAAGCAGCTGATGTGAAAGCCACCTTACTTAGCCAGAGCACCTCAATCCTGACCTCAGCTTTCTAATTCCAGGCCTGGGTCCTTCCTAAGGTAGCTCTGAAAGTGTATCTCAGTCTCATCCCTTGTTCTTCCAGGCCTTAGTTCCCACAAAGTAGCTCCAATATAGGTTGCTCCTGAACCATATCCCTGTTATTCCAGTAAACCTGCGTATCAGTGGATCTTTTTACACAGAGACCAGACTTCAGTGATGCTTAGACCCCCACTAATCCTGCAAAGCTGACCAATTAGGAGAATTTGTGCTTGACTTTTTTCCACTCTTTGCAGCAGAACATCAGTCTCGTGGGAGATTTCCTTTCCAGATTTGCCTCTTCAGCGCAGGAAGCAGCTACAGAAGACTGCCTCGAACACTGCACACACCGCCTCCTCGTCATGTGTGGCAGATTTAGAGGAAGAACTGAAGGGCTAGAGACTTACCACTGTTTCCCAGCTCTTCAGATAGTTTTTGAAGCTGTATTGCCTGCAAAGGGTGGCTGATTTGGACCGTAAGGTTTGTCTGATGGATTGAAAAGACATGACTTGTGGCGGACAGATTTTGTTGGGTTAGGGAACTCAGAAGAGTCATTCCAGCTACCTTCAGAAACGAAATGCTTCATAACAGCCACTTAGCATGGTCTATATTGAACAAAACTACTTAGACCCCAAATTCTGGTCTGATGTAGATTTCCTAGTAGTAGCACCGGCTGTCCAGTCAGTGTCTGTATAAATGTTAATGGGAATTGTGCATGCAGGGGACTAATCCCAGATGTCTCATTAAAATGAAGACTATCACCCAGATAGAAATAATCTGACTTTTGCTTCCTGTACTTAGCAAATCACAGTTATATATATGCATGAGGACAGTGATATGTGAAAAGCCATTTTTAGATTAATTCATGTAAGTCAATACATGATCTCATAAAAGTCCAATATGTAAAACGTATGCTGCTTACGCAGCATTAGCATATAAGTGACAGGTTTTTGTTCTGCATGGGAAGTTAAGGTTGACCATCTTTCCCTGTTCTTGTAATTCCAGGAGTCTCAAGTCAGCACCTCGTGTTACAATAGTGCATGTTGCAACACTCTAAAGTGCTGATTTCCTCTGAAAAATGACAGGATGGGGCTCCACATATATTTTCTTTCAGTGATTTTCACATAATATTTACTCTGTTCACACGTCAAAAAAAAAATTTTTTTCTGACCAGCTCTGTGAGCTGAGCCTGGGATTTGCAAAGCTACCTTGCTCATCACCAGTGATAGATTCTTCAATTAGAACTTAGCTGACAGCTCTGATGATGTGAAAGGTAGTGCAGAGCTTGATAATGCTAGTAAAAGCTTGTTTTGGTCAGTAACATAAGAGACGCATGGCACAGTTGTGCTGAAAAAGGCACAACCATTTTTATAAGGTCACTTTTCTGACCCAATCCAACAGTGTTCTAGCACAAAGATCAGGAGTGGAGCTTAGGACTGCTCCTGCCAGAGCCCAGGTTAGAGTTGGGTGAGCTCTAGTAAACTTATAAGCAAGCATGTACTGTGTTCTTTCATTGTTTTTATGTTTTCTCTGTAGTGCTTTTACCTTAAGAATAAAATAGGCTTGCATGGGAAGTGCTGTGTGGTACCTTATAATATGGGTGATTACTCTGTTAGTCTCGGAAGGGAAGGGAAGTAGGCCTCCTTAAGCAGAGTCTGTTGCTGAGAATAATCCAGTGAAGGCAGGGAACTGTTCAGCCTGGATGCATCCTGATCAGAAGGGAGAAAAGTGGGTCTCCACGCAAGAGAAGCAACAGCAGGAAGCCTGAGAGTGGATGCTCTTGCTGTACCAAGTTGCCCTGAACTGTGACTCTAGGTTCTGTGCAAACACGCACACAGAGGCAGTTCCTCCCCCAAAAGAGCTTACAATCTAAGAAACAATGGGTGGATAGAGACTGAGTGGTGGGGAAGCCCAAGTAAACAGGTCATACATGGGAGGGCAGTGATCTCAGCACACCGGTAGCCTAGAGGTTGTTAAGTTTTTTGTAGGCATCACAGCAAAAGAGAGTTTTAAGGAGGGATTTGAAGGCATGATGAGTACATTCTTCCTAGATGTTAATTTCAAAACACATGGTAGAATTTTAGTAGCATTCCGGTCTCTTTGGCCTCTCCTTTCACCCACTGAAATTTGTGGGGGTCTTTCTAACTGGTATTGATGAGTTTTTTAAACTATTTGCCCTTACATGAAGTACTTGGAGGCTACATTATTCCATTCCGTTGCTTTGTAGCTTGCCTTAAATTAAGGATGATCAATTGGTAGTAAATTCTAGATACAGTTCATGACATTTAATGACTAGGAGAATCAATGTTCAAAGTGGAAAGGGAAGCCAGAAGGGGGATCTCTTGCAGTGCTGCAGCACAATAGAATGCTAGATGGAAAAATAGGGAAGTACTGCAGTGCAGGTCTGAAACAGTGTCAGCTGGAGATTCCAGCTGGTAGGAGCAGCTTCACAACCAGCCAAAGCTGAGACTGCTGTATTGGAGGGTGGGGGAAGAAGTGGTAAAATGGGGCACAGGTGGGGCCACACTTCTCTAGACCCATGTGCATGATAGATCACAGACACACAAACACCCTACAGGGACTGTCTGTGATTCTGTGTCTGTACAGCACAATGGGATCTTGTTCTTTGCTGGCTCTTAGGCACTGCCGTAAAACATGATTATTATTATTAATAATAATAATAATAATTAATAATAGAATTCTACTCTTTACCCATCCAAGGTTTAAGGAAATTCTGTTTGAGGTCTGCACAGAGAGGCCAACCCCTCCCGGTAGGTGAAATTCTGGCCCCTTGGAATCAATGGGAGTTTTGTATTTAAGTATCAGGGGGTAGCCGTGTTAGTCTGTATCCACAAAAACAAGAAGTTGTCTGGTGGCACCTTAAAGACTAACAGATTTATTTGGGCATAATCTTTCGTAGGTAAAAAACCTCACTTCTTCATATGCATCTGAAGAAGTGAGGTTTTTTACCTACGAAAGATTATGCCCAAATAAAGTTGTGTTTAAGTGGTGCATACAAGCCTTAAGCTGGCCCTCTGCACAAGGGGTGAATTTCACCCACTGTGAATAGTTGAATCCATTCTTTAAAATGAGGGAAATGGTGACAAAATCAGTGGTTTAAAGTTCCACCCATTTCTCCTTTGTTAGCTCTCTGAAGGTCTTTGAGCACCACAGGAATGGATGGTTCAAAACCCATGTGGCAATAGATAAGGAGAGGAACATTCAAATTCAGTGAGAGATTCATGGGCACCCCTTTGTGTGTCTTTCTCATAAAAAGATGACTACATCACACATGAAATCAACAGGCTAGTGGGACAGAAAGACAGGGCCATAACACTGGGCCTGCACTTTAGCCCCTGCCGTATTGATGCTTTCATCAGGAGGGTGATCGATGTTCACAAAGCCATCCCACGCCTTTTACTTAGATGCCTAGACACAAAAGTAATCATCAAAGCAGAAAATACCAGGGAGATGCACATAGACATGGAGCAATTCAGTGACATTCATGAATATGTCCAATATATGGCAATGACGGACATTTTTCAGGGTCTTAAAGTGGGTATCATTGATGCCTGGTCTATGACTATAGCATATGCCACAAAATTCACCCACCAGATCATGTGGTTGGGAACCAAATCAATGTGTGTTTAATGTACGTGTTAGCTGATATTTATCTAAAATGAAAAACAGGCTATAACTTGAGAACAAAGCACTTGATTAGAGCTGGTTGGGAGGACAAAGGGAAATTTCACCAATCCCCTCCAGCCCCCCAAAAATAATCTTTCCCCCCCAAAAGTTGATACTTTGAAAGTTAATCAAAAAATATGGAAAAGTTTGAAATTTGTGTAAAAAAAAAACAAAAAACCCCCACACAATTAAAAATCATCACGATTTCAAAAATCTTTGCTATCTTTCTAGCAATGACACAATAATTTACTCATTCCAAAAAGAATCAGATTAAAGATATCACTCTAGTACACTGGGTCGTCCCCCCCCCCAGCTTCTGTTAAGCAAATGTCTTCACCAGTTCTAAGATTCAGACTGGCTGGAAGAATTAGTGGTTATTATCTTCTCTTTCTTGCTTTAGTGGTAGCCTTTGAAAGAGAGGAGATTGGTGAAAATGTGTAAGCCAGCATCCTCAGAGCCTTTCTATAGTAGTGAATAAAGAGCCACAATGGATCCAACCCCGAACAAAGTAGGTTAATTCCCCTCTGTTGCTCTGAAAACCTGAAATATTGCCATTCTAAACATATGTACCGTATTTATCCTCACCACACCCAAGAGGAAAGGGAAGTGCTAGTGTCCTTGTTTACAGATGGGGAACTGAGGAACAGAGACTAAATGATTTGGCCAAGGTTGCATGGAAAATCTGTGGTGAACTCGAAGGTGGGTCTCCTGTATCCCAGACTGTAACGGCTGGGCACCCCCCGCTTCCTCTGAGTTGTCTCAAATATTAGCAGCTAGTGGTATGCCACTAACAGAATCTGTTTGGTCTTTAGTGCTGTTTATGCTGCCAAATTGACTAACAAAGCTCTGGACAAGAAGTTCAAGTAGCAGCATGCTTTCCAGCCCTTAACGCTTGTCCTTATTTCACTTCTATTGTTTAATGGATTTGGAAAGGAAGAGAAACAGTTCCCTAATGGCCCAGGGATGCTGCACTCCAAACAAACTGAGGTCATGTGGTAACATGTGCAGCTTTGCTTTCATGGAATGTTTTACAGGAACAACTCTAAACACTGTACAGCAAATGCAATAAATGGATGAGTGAGCTGTCGGCTTACGGTGTTGGTGCATATTTGGGGGTGTATATTGCAGTGCCAGAGTACAGTCAGGGGAATCAAGGTGGAACATGACCCTCCCTCAAATTAACCATGTTGTAGGACAGGCATCAGGCAAGACTCTGCCAATCAACTGCTGCACTGTTGTCATGCTAAGAGCCTAAAGACTTGTTCTGTATGAAATGGATCAACTTGCAGCCATCTCCATCTTCTGTACTGAGTAGGGTGACCAGACATCAAGCATGAAAAACCGGGACGGGGGTGGGCGGTAATAGGCACCTATATAAGACGAAGCCCCAAATATCGGCACTGTCCCAGGACATCTGGTCACCCTTATACTGAGGCATGGCTGGTAGAGGCTCCAGGTCCCTGCAGACAATGTCCCATCTCGATTCAAGCAGCCAGTCTACTTGCCACAAGGCAGTCTGCTGAACATTGAGCCAAACCTGAGAAAAGGGTGCGTGGGTCAGTTGGATGTCTCTGTGGGGCTGATTGATATGAGTACTAAGAGTTAATACAAATAATTTGATGGTGCAATTCCTTCAGAGTTTAGGTGTGACCATCCCTTTAACTCACTAAGCGGCTTGTCTTGTTAACGACAGACCTTCCAGAGACAGATCATAACATATGCTAAGGGTTACGATGCCACTAGCCCAGTCTGTATAAGGCAACTTTTAGTCATAGTCATCGATTAACATTACAACAGTTTTCTGGGAACAGTTTTTCTTCTTCTTTTCACAATTTAGTCTTTCCTTACTAAGTGCATAGCAACTTCCTAGAGCCAATGACTATACGAACCCCCAAACGATCAAATTAAAGGAGGAAGATGCATTATTTTGATTCCTGAGGGTTTGAGTAAATTAAACAAATACTCAACTTAACCAGTGCTTAAATTATCAAATAAATATTACCATATGTTGCCCATATAGGGTTTTTGTTTTGTTTTTTGTAGTTATCCGTTAGAGTAGTGAACCTACTGCTTTCTAAGGGCTTGATCCTTAAAACAAAAAAATCCTTTAGTCAATAAATAATCCCTTTGACGTCTGTTAAGCATGTGCATAAATTTTTGGAGGTTCAGGGCCTAAGCCATCCATTTGCACATGCCAGGAGTAATGGCAAAGTCACATGCAATAAATGGAATTGAAAAAGGGGGTGGGAAATCTAAGCGTGCAAGTGGAAACGTGCATGTAGATAAGGGACCACAGTAAGCCACTCTCAGCTTCCTACTCTGCACGTGACCAGCAATCTGGCTAGCCTGCATGTCCTAACAGGTCAGATAGTGCCTGGATAATCTGGAAATGAGCAAGTTACAAATTCCTACAAAGAGCGAGATCTTGTCTGTCTTTAACTGCTATTATTCTAGGAATCCTGCACACCAGTGAAACGCCCCCACCCGCTGTATTTCACACAAGCAGTAGAATAACCACTGATCAGTAACTTTACACTTCTCTAGCGCTCTTTACAAACATTAAGCCTTGTGTGATGGGTTAATGCTCATTTTGCAAATGTGGCAACAGATTGACAGAGAGAGGTTAAGGCCAAAATTTGCAAACTTTTAAGTGCCTCAAGTTAGTCACCTAAATAAGTGGTTTGATTTTTCAGGGGCTCTGATTCCAGTCCCTATGTGTGCTCAGCAGCTCTTGAAACCAAGCCACATTTTCTGCAGGAAGGTTGCCTCATTTTAGCCATTCAAAGTGTTGTCCGAAAGCGACTTATCAACAAATCAGTAACTGCAAATAGGATCTGGGAGTCCTGACTTCCACTCCCCTGCTCTGACGGTTCCATCTCATGAACCTTGGCACAAATGCTGAGTTATAGTATGATCTACGTGAATGTACATGCTGTAACCTTTACATAAATGCTTGAATCAACTGTTTTTAACTAATGTATTTTTGTTACAGTCACACATTGTATGGGTCTCCCTCCGGTGGCTAATTTAATATCTACAACTTCATGGGGTTTTCTCATTTGTAAGACTTCCGTGTAGACATGAGACGGTGCTAGGGATTGTACTGCCACTAAAATTCTTATTAATGCCTATTTTCAACCATAGACATGACCTGCTGACATTTGTCACTCATTTTGTCAGTCAGCAAGATATTATTAAATGAAAAATGCAAGATTAGAAGGCGATCTCTTTCCCCAGTGGCTTTATCAGGCAAAACAGGTGGAAGCCTGCTTTCTGCAACATATCTAACTTCACAACTATGGCTCAAATTAATACTTGTTTGAAGAGAAAAATTGATTTACCTGATGGGAGATTCAACAGTGTCAGTGGATTGAGTATTTCACAAAGACAGCAAACAGTAGGTTTTCCCTATTAGGTTAAATGATATCAAGCTCTGTTTTCTTAGAATCAAAGATATAGCAGTGGCTCTTTTCCTTGTCTAATAGCATTGCATTTGTTAGGCTTCTGCTTTCTAGTAAGCGGTAGCTTTTGTTTTACCCTGTTTACATTTCCTTTCAATAGCAAAACACTTGGCTAGGGAATATTTATTTTACTTTCCATTAATAATTTTAACTACTTATTTGAGGTGATCAATTTTACCATACTTAATGTACATTTATGTATCAGTAAAGTTATGTGACTTGTTCAGTAGACAACGCAAAAGCATGACAAACGCATCTGCTTAGGAATTTCAAGAGAAACTTGAAATCAGACCAGGCCCGCTCAAAATTTTGTTAAAAGTTGCTCACCTTGAGTAAACCGAGAATGAACAAGGCATATGTCAACTTGAGTCTGTGACCTTGTGGTTTCAAATAAGTTTCATTTATTGAGTATGTGTCTAGTATAGCAGGGCTTGATCTTGATTGGGAGCTACCATAATACAGATATGGAACTCAAAGCAAAATTTGGAGGCAAAGTAAGAATTTGCAAATTGAAACCGAAGGAAGAGTTTGCACCAGCCCATGAAACAAAACCACCAACGCTAGAAAGAACATAGTTAGTTAGGAGAGTACAGAGACTCTAATTTGGTACATTCCTCCATGGAGTGAAAGCTGCCGTTATTTATTTTCTTTAATAATTTAAAGATAGTCTTTGTTTCTTTTTCTCCATCAGCACTTAAATATTTTGGTCTCCATGGAACGGGGAAGCTTTGGTGTGGATATGGATTGAAACAGTCAAGTTCAATGGAAAAAACATTGACATCCCACACTCAGAGCCCATGAGTAAGCAGTTAAAAAAATAAATATGTTGCTCATGAAATTGACAAACTGGCAGGGGACTGTCATAGCTCTGGGCCAGTACTTCAGATCCTTTCATTAGAAGAGTGCTTAAAGTCCACAAAGCCCTAACCTCTTCTTTAGAAGCCTAAAACTAATCATCAGAGCAGAAAGTGCCAGCGAGACGCACACAGATCCAGAGCTATTTGGGGACTATGGCTATGTCCAATACCTGGCAATGAAGGATGTTTTTCAGTATCTAAACATTGGTGTCCCTGATTTCTGGGATATGACTATCGACTATGCCACAACCAGTGTTCACGCACCAGGTCATGTAGTTAGGAATCAAATGTATGTTAAACATACATCTGTTAAATAACACCCTAGCTTATTTATGGGTTAGCATGGACTTGTGGTCACGTTGACAAGTTAAATGGCAGCAGCGTCCTCTTCTAGAGCCTGATCCAAAGGGCAGTGAAGTCCATGGACTCATTTAGCTGTTTCCTAGCCACAGGAACAGCCTGTGAAAACCAGTCATGTTCTAACCATAAATTCTTTTAAAGTGAGTATTACAGGCTGACCCGCTTATCACGCCAATGCACTTCATTCCTGGCCTGCAGCCTTTACATTTTTTATATTGAAATTTCATCTGCTTGATCACAAATCAGCTTTTTGTGCAGCTCCTCCCTAGCATCCTTTGAGCACAGACCGCTGCCTGCGTGAGAGTTTTGTAAAGTGGATAAATGTCCACCATGGAACTAAAAAGAGCTTGTTACTTGAATTAGCTGTCAAGAGATAAGCTGATCATACCTTTGACACCACAAGCATAGAAGGCCACTGCTCATCAGGCTACATTAAGTGATGCACATGTTCAGTCTGTCTTCAAATGGCACTGTGTATTTTACAGAGGAATTCTTGTTAAGTACACACATATATGACCGCTGTAGGATGCAATATATTTCCCATAACATTTTGAAAATCTGAGGGAGGCTGGTTCATCTTTTAGATAAACATTATATACAAAGTCTTATAACCAAGGCTGCTGCAAAAGAAAAGAGAAGGTGTAAAAAAAAATCTTTCAGCAGGACTGGTTTTATTTTGTAACAAAAGAGTGCATCTAGAAGTAAATGAAGAGATGTATCAAAGAGCAAAAGTGATCTGGTACATAAAACAAAGGAGCTGCTGAGACTTAAATGGCAAATTCACAGCTCAAACATGTTAAAGCAGACAGAAGTCTGAATTACTGCTGCTTTCCTAATGGTTAAGAAACAAGGAAACTGAAAGAAGCCTCTTCCTTAAACACTGGTGAACAGAAAAACAACAGGAGATACATCCAGTGGGTACTATGGGATGGCATTGTGAGATGGAAGATCAGCTCACAGTTTTATCACTTTCTCCATTTTCTATTAATTTTCTTTTCTTTTCATCTGTTTTCCTCTTGAAGATGCTATTTCTGTAGAACTGAAGTTCTTTGATGCTTTCCCTGATGTCATCGAGTGCTCTGCAAGAGAATTAAGGAAGGTTTCAAAATGCACAAACACTCAGGCTAAATTTGGATTCTGATGCATTTCACAAATTCCAAACTGTAAAAAAATAGTAGAACACTGAGAAATATATCGTGCACAAATCTGTCAGTAATAAAACCACCTTATCTAGACTGAGTAATACAGGAAACAATAAAAGTTCAGCAGGACAGGCATGCAAGGAAGTAACACATTACTTATTGGTTTGTGCTATTATGCAAGGCATAAGCTCTAGCAAGCCAATAGATTCCATGACTTCAGAGGACTGGACTAGATAACCTCTAGAGGTCCCTTCCAGTCCTATGAGTCTAGTGTAGTTGAGGGCAAAGGCAGGTAAACTGAGTTGAACATGTCCATGTTGATGAATATGGAATTTAACACTACCTGGCCTGAAAACCAACAAGGTTAGTTTACCCACTTTTGTTTTTTAAAATCACTGCACGACTTCAGCTATTAAAACAAGTATCGGTATTAGTCTGAGATGCCTAACAATGGACAAGGACTCAAGAGACCCGGATTCTATTCCTGGTTTGGCCAATTAGCTGCTGTGAGACCCTGAGCAAATTGCTTTACTTCTCTGTTTCTCCTCCCACCCTTTGTCTGGTCTATGTAAACTCTTTGGGGCAGAGACGCTTTCATTATGTATTTGTACAGTGCCTAGCACAAATGGACCCTGACTTCAGGTAGGGCCTCTAATGTACCATAATACAAATAATTATTAGAAAAGGACAGTTGTCAAGAACAGTATTTAGTAAAAACCAACAAACAAAAAATCAAATCAGGACCAAGATTCCGGTCACTCTGAAATCTAAGTATAAAGCCATGGCTAAATACCAGATTCCAGAAGATAGTGCTTCCTGAAATCAGGGCACCATCAGCCAATCTTTACTTGATGATGATGTTTCATTCCAACCAATGCTTCCTAAAACTGTGCCAAAAACATGCCAGCATCCAGCAAGCATCAGCAGTAACCAAAATGTACCTATAACCTCCCTAGCCATCTTTGTATTTTAATGCACAACAGTTTTAAACACCAATCTTTAGCGGTAGGATGGAATGGCTGGGAATCACCTTCTGCAATACGCCAGGCTTTAGAAGGCAAAGGCCTGGCTATGATGCAGGCTGCTCCCTTTGAACCCTGAGCCTTCATGTGCCCATCTTACAGAGCCCATGCATCAGAGAGGTAGGGAAAGAGGTACTTGAAGATTCAGTTACTCCTTTTTCCAAAAATTCCCATGCAATTAGCAACAACTTTTCTCCATCCCTGCATGAAAGAACTGTCCCTTATCCTAAAACAGGAGAGGTTTCAAGAGGCAGTAAAATTAAACAGTAAAAATAACTTATGCTCATTTTAACTTTTGATGTAAAAGGGACCATCTGCCAATGTCGTTATGCGCCCAGAGGGAAGGCATCTCAGTACTGTTCCTGTTGGCTTCTTATTTATGCTAAGTCATAGTTGCTTCATTTCCCAATGGGAATGAGTTAAAACTGCCATCAGTCCTGTTGAGCCGATAGAGCTTTATTGCTCCACATTGTATAGCAGCAGCAATCTGCCAGACAAGTTCTGTTTTCCAGATCTTTATTTATGAAATAAACAAAGTAAATTTTTATATTACAATAGTACCCAGAGGCCTAAGTCAGAACTGAGGCCTCGCTGTGCTAGGCACAGTATTCGGAAAAACATGGGGACCAATCCTGCCCCTATCGAGTCAATGGCAAAACTCATATAGACTCCACAGGGCTTTGGATCAGATTCATGGTGCTGGCCCTGAAAAGCTTACGATCTAGGAGAAAGTGTTAATACTTTCGACTACACAGCACCTTTCATCAGAGGATCTGAAAGCAAGTTATCAATGTTAACTATGCCTTGGAACACAGTTAGGTAGTAAATCAAGGTTAACCCCACTTCACAGATAGGGAAACAGGCATCAATACATCACAAACCCAATCTCCCAATTCCCAGTCCTCTGCTTTCACTACTGGTCCTCTGGTAACAGCTTTGCTTCAATACAAAACTTATTAATGTTCTATCTTAGTTTTTTCTGAGATGCTTAGCACTGTGGTATGTAAGTGCTGTGAACATGTATTTGTCAGGACAAATATCTTGGCTTAGTAAACTGAGCAAGTCATTAATGGATAATAAATTACTTCTGTTTTCTGTATTTTTACAGAGTAACTTTTTTTGCCATAATCAGACTTTAAAGAGAGGGATATGGCAAGGAATAGAATTACACAGACTTCCAGTGCGATTGCCAATAGAACTAACATGTCAGGTTTTCAAAGAAATTGGTATGCTCCATATTCTAGTAGAAGAGAGTACTGTAGCTTAAAGATATGACAAATGTACTACATTAAAGGCAATAGTGGAAGTCTCACCTGTGAGAAGCCACCTTCTTTGGTGCAAATTCAAAGTCTTCTGGATACCAGCGCCTGTATATGGAAGAAATTGAGTTTTAAATCCATACATCTTAAATACATAGTCAGAGGTCTCTTTGGGTTTGCTACAATGGGAAATGTCTCTTCAGTGCAAAAATTTGAATTTCACTGTCATTCAGAAAAGTTACTGTTATAAGCATCAAAATAATATAATCCACGTGAGAGCTAAACACCTCCCCACTCTGCATGCAGTTCAGTAAGTAGGTCCTCGTCCTTTTTCTGTTTGATCCTAGTGGAATATCTGAAAGAACTAAATGGCTGCACACTGCTCTTTTCCTGCTGTCCTCCTCTCTTGTCTTAGAAGAAAATTAGTAAAATATAATAGAGCTCCTTAGGTCTTTTGACACTAACTTTGTATGGTATTTACCTGCAAAGTTCTTTGACCGTGCTCACATCAATTATCCTGTAATGAACGTGCCTCATGAACTGAGGCATATATTTGTCAAGAAACTTCTTATCTGCATGAACAGAGTTTCCTAGAAAAAGACAAAACAGATATTTCTTTCAAAGACTTTACAAAGCTACAGTGAATTACATCTGAACTAGAGGTAGGCTATGCAGACTGAGGAAATCACATATGACTTCTAAATGTTTTCAGTCAGGTCATAAGTCTCATGTTCCAATAAATATGACTTTAAAAGTTTCTGTCTGATTTCCATTCTGGGATCACTTCTGTGTGGTTTAAATATATAATCTCTCTGCATTGAATTCTTCAATTACTTCCGCTACAATTTCTGCGTAAGCTTTCGTGGGTGAATGCCCACTTCGTCGGTCCCATGCATCCGACGAAGTGGGCATTCACCCACGAAAGCTTATGCACCAATACATCTGTTAGTCTTAAAGGTGCCACGGGAGACTGTTGCTTTTTACAGATCCAGACTAACACAGCTACCCCTCTGATACTCTACAATTTCTGTGTCACAAACATAATTATTTCAATAAAAGTAAAAATATTACACAAACAACCAGGTTTTCCACTAAGGGTAAATAAGCTTTACTGTTTGTTTAATATATTTTTCTCAGGTCATCCTTTTGACCTCTGTGAGTCAGGATTCTGAGTCACCATTAAGTAACAGGACATTCAGAATAGCAGCACTTAGAGGTTGATTGGATTCATATCAGCAGTTAGTTCCCTATTTTTCTTTTGCATTCACAAAAGGCTAACAACACTAAGTCGCACCAATAATGAAATATTACTAGTAACAGGAATTTAAGTTTCCTGCAGATCTATGGGGATTTTCAGAAACCCATATGTAATATTTGCTTCAGGCAATTTATAGAATGGATGATACCTAATGCTGAACTTCCCCTGATTAATGAAATTTGATTGCATGCAGATCTCCAGGTAGGAGATGAAATCACTCCTGCATTGTGCATTAACAGGCTTTTCAAAGCCCCACTGGGAACGAAAGGAGGATTGATTTTATTAGTATTAAAAATATAAGTAAAACATTTTACCTGCAAGAGGGCAGAGGCCGGGTGGTGTTTGCTGTCGTACAAAGGACAGAAATTCATACTCTGCTTGCTGCAATGAAATTGTACTTTCTTTCACTGCCTTAGTAAGGCCAGACTGCAAGAAAGAGGCATCCATCACCAATCAAATATTTACCATTATTTAAAAATACTTCTAGCATATTTAAGTAGCAGTCAAATGTTACCTAGAAATCAATAACTGAAACAATAACCAACTAATGGCACATTTAATGCCCAGAAGCATTAAAAAAGATGACAACTTAACGCTTAAATTTAACCTTTTGGAAGGTCTTAACATTTTACCAAGTGCATCAGTGTTTATCCACTTCAATCCTAGCTAAGGGACAGATGATAGCATTGTGAACCAGACAAGATGCTGGTCAGTATAGCTGCTTAAATCCAGAACCCTGTGAGCATCAGTAGAACTAGCAAGAGTCATGTCAGTTTCACACTGCTGCTCAGAGCTTTCCCAAGCAGCAGCCCCTGGTGGCCCACCACTATCTTTCACATCAGCCATTGTTGGTAGGTTTATTTCTCTAGCTAGAAGGTGTCTAGTAAAATTTTCAAGGCCTGTTCAAAGTTGCTGCAAGTCAAGGTTGTTAAGGCCCTTTGGATAGTCTGTTTCAAGTTAGTCTTGTGGTTAAGGCACTGGATTGGATCTCAGAACATCTGGATTCAATTTTCAGTTCTGACATGGACTTTTTGTGAGATCTTGGGCAAATCACAACCTCTCTCTGCCTCAGTTCCCCATCTGTAAAATGGGGGATATTTCCTTTCTCCCACCTTTTGTCATCTACATTTAGAATGTAAGCTCTTCAGAACAGGAACTGTCTCTAAAGTGTTCATATAGCACCTAACACAATTTTGAGATTAAGAATTATAAAGTTGCTACTAGTTACAAGGAAACAGTGATTCTAGTACTACTGCTCTAGAACCTTTACCTTCCCATGATGCTCTTTACACCATTCTGACATGCCATCCAGCAACTCATCTGGCTGGTTTATAATCAGGTTGGGACCCTGTTAATGAGAAAAAAAATAGTAATATAATCAAATCCTAACAAAAAAATCATTCTAAAGCTTATCAGAGGAATCTGTCTACCTCCTGTTGACACCTCTAGCTTTAAGGAAATTACGAGAATGCTGTGCAGAGCAAGATGGGCAGCTATCTTAAAACCCATGTGGTGGGAAATGCCTCCCCGACCTGGTATAAACTATCAAGTGTTTCTGTATGGATAGTACATGTGGTTCCAGTTGGTCTCTCAATGGCTTCTAACATCAAGTTTTCTTAGTTTACAAATGAAAAGGCACAGTGGTGTTCTTTCTTCCACAGTCAATAACTCAATCTGGAATGTGAATATCAAGTCAGGTTCTTTCAGGCTCATGCATCATTTGATTGGATTCTGTAACTGGAACTTATTTGACAAGCGATGAACCATGGGTCAGAACTGAATCCAGTTGCCTCTCCCAGCACTGTGTGTATTTTGCAGCGCTAAGTAGTAGTGAAACCTTATTCTTGTCACTAAAGCAAGAACATATGACTCATAATGTGTAAAGAGGAAGCACAGGTCTGTTCAGTAAGATACTGCCAATTTTACGGGACATCTTCCAGGTTATAATCACATCTTAAAAACAGGCATTTTGGAGTCAGCAGCTGGCAAACCTTACAGTACTAAAAAGTGACATACTACACTGTCAACAAGGTTGTTAAGAATGCAGGATAACTGCCACTAACATTTTACACACAGCCACAATCCAAACAGCCCTCAAAAGCATGTACTATAAATTGTTGTTTGACTCGTATTCCATTCCACAGGCTGCACACATCTGGAAACTATACTTATGAAAGGGCACATACCACGCTGGCTGCTTGTTAGCCAGATGGTTCACAAAACATCAAAGATAAAAATATTCCACTCTAACCTAATGGGCAGACGAACCTTCAAGTATAACAAAGTAACAGTACCAGGAGCTAGTAATCAGACATACGCCAGTGCACATTGACTCCAAACTCTAACCTACCTCAGCCAAAATGTTTAAATCAGAATCAGTTATGAGACAAGCCATCTCAATGATCTGGTCCTTCTCTATGTCCAGTCCGGTCATCTGCAAAGGCACAAGCAACAATTGTAAGAAGAGAGAAGAGCTATGTTTTATACTTTGCAGGGAACGTATGTCTTAACAACACTTTAATCCCAGAGTTGGGCTAACACTGCTGTAATGTTTGGGTTTTTTCACAAACGCTTTGCACTGATTTCAATCACCAGTAGAAGGGAAATAATCAGTGTTTGCCAAACTAAGAAAGGAAAGGACATTTTCCAAAGCTTCTCAGTGGGCTGTGCAAATACTTGGAGAGTGAATTTAGAGCAGAACTGCTCAGCCATAACTAGAAAAGAGAGCTCGACAGCTGGCACCCCCAGGGCCTGAATCTGAACCGGATGCTTCCCTGCCATCTGAGGCAGCAAAGTGCAGGCCAACCTACAGCCTGGCAGGATCAAAGAGAGGGAAAGGCTCTGTTAGTGCAGGGAGCCGACCCAGACCAGGGCTTGGTCTCAGAGGTGTGTTTCCCTACGCTCTGTGCAGCCTAGTCTTAAACACCCCAGGCAATGCCACCCCTAGGCAGGCCCTAGGGGCAGGGATCTCCTCCTGACACCCAGCCTGGCTTTCCCCTTGCACACCTCCCTCCAAGTGCGACACCCCCCCAGGTACCTGTCTGTCCTGGGGGCCCCCTCCCCCCCCCCCCCCCGGCACCTGTCTGACATGGGGGACCCTTCCCAGGCACCTGTCTGACATGGGGGACCCCGGCACCTGTCTGACATGGGGGACCCTTTCCCCTCCCCCCGGCAAAACATCCCTCACAGCCGACCTGCGTCCCCCCCCCCACCAGCGGGGGGTGCTCCTGCCCCTCACCTCCAGATCCACCCAGACCATCCTCTGCCCCATGCTGCCCCCAGCCATGGCCGCTGCGTCCCGGCCCCCGGCTCCCAGTGCCGCCAGCAGCCGGCCCCCGGCGGAGCCCAGCAACCACGCACGCATCGCGACAGGCCGCAAAGTGTCAACCTGGGGACTACCATTCCCAGACGCCCATGCGCCATCTCCCCACTCAGTCCTGTGACTGGGTCTGGCCCGGGGCCTGCTGGGAAATGTAGTCCCCCCCCCCCGGGCATCACAGGAAGGAATATTTCCACCCTTCCGAACAGCAGTGCATGCTGGGGCTTGTAGTCTCCACACGTCCCATAGCTCCACTGCTGCTAACTCTCCAGGGCAGATGCTTAGTTTTTATTCTGCTCCAGGCGCGCCTCTACAGGGGGTATTTTACACTGAGGTCTGTTTAGTTTGCAGGTTCTAGTCCATGACTGGGGCTCCTAGGCACTAAGATAATACAAATAATTTAAAAGAAGTAAATTCCATTTACTTCCTCAAGGCCGGGACCTCTAATATTGCTCATTGACGCAGCTGCATCATCAATAGCCTCGGCTCCCCTAAAACACAAATAAACAACAAAATAATTCATAGACTGAGCCGCTGTGACATAAATGGGACAATCAGAAACCTGATTATCGTTAAGGCTAAGATTTTGTCACAGATAGTTGTAGTAAAAGTCACGGACAGGTCATGGGCAATAATGAAAAATTCACGGACGCCCAAGTCCTGTCTCTGACTTTTACTACAAATATCCATGACAAAACGAGGCGCCTGGGCAGCTGTAGACAGGTTGGGCGCTCCAGGGTCCCCTTCTGCTGGTGGCTCTGAGCAGTGGTGGTCCCACTTGCCGCCCGCGGCGGCCAGGAGCTCCTGGGATTCCCCCTGCTGCCCACGGCATCCAGGAGCAGCGGGGGGGTCCCACCACCTGGGGCAGTAGGGGTACCCCGCAGCTCCCTGCCTCCGCAGGCAGCAAAGGACCCTGCTGCTCCCAGCTGGTGCTGGCTGAAATCACGGAGGGCTTTGGAAGTCACGGAATCTGTGACCTCCATGACTAAATTGCAGCCTTAATTATAGTACCTGGACACCACTGCACCGGGCACTGTGCAAACATAGAAGATCCCTGCCCCAAAGATCTCACAGTCAAAACAGGGAAGACAGACAAAAGGTGGGCGGAAACAAAGTGAGCACAGTTGCCCCTTAATCCCCAGGCCCATATTTCCTTTCCATTTGCTCTGGAAAATAATCATTCCCGCTCAAATTTGTATTTTGTGCTGGTGAAAAGTGCCAAATTGGCTGAAGCTGGAAATTGGATAATGAACTCCTCTGCGTCCAGGACAGGTACAGTATAGGCACTGCCCCCAGCAAATGTGCATCAGCCTTCATGTAGGAACAACCTCCAGGAGCGAGGGGGGACTTCAGACTCTCCTGAGGCTGCCAACAAGAATGCCAAATGAGGATGGTTTTTTATAATGCGAAGACTTGTCCACTAGAAAGTGGACCAAAACCCACCAAGTCATTTCATGTAGGGGTTACGGAACAGCCATTAGATAGTGACATCTGGTGGGAAAGCCATTCCCAACCTGACCTGCAATCAAATGAAGAATCAAGAGGAGAAAGGGTCTGTGCCCCATTGTCAAATCATTGAACCCTCCCCAACCATTTTTAATTTCATGTGTAAGTCCAACTTTGTTTGCTCACATGAAGCACACAGAAATATTCTTGAGGCCCTAAAGTAGCCAGTTAGGAAGCATTGTGGTTGTAGCATAGGCGGCAGAGTGAAGTATGAGCCACACGTTAGGGTGTTCAATTTAAAAAAAAACATAGTGCTGCTTGGATTTCCCATCAGGTAACATATCACCATGGAAAAAGCAAGCTTTATTTTAAATAAATAAAGCTTTCCCCCCCTGTGGTTAGGGCTGTCTCATTGCATCAAAGCAATATCACAGCATGGCACTGGAGTGATGGGCACAGCATTTTTTTTTTTTTTTGACAGCAGTAATATGACCCTTAATTTACAAAATGAATTCACCGATATGCCAACAATGGCTGGTAATTTGGTGCTTAATTGCAAATATATCTTGTTTTCAAGCACAGCACCAAGAAGTTATATTCAAGCTGGTTTGAATAACGGGAGCTTAGGTACACAAATGTGTACCTTTCTCATAAATGTGTTTAAATGCTGTTTGGTAAATCCAAATAACAGCTTCTTGTGGCAGTTTCTCCAACTTCACTACAACTGTAGGTGGATTGTGGCCCCTAATGAACTTGTGCTTTTACTGATTTCTTGAAACTAAAAACTTAGATGTTTGCTGAAAGCTGCTCTCAAGGTTCTCAGTGCTTTCCAGAGAGGAAAGTGCTGAATTTGTCTGTCTCGTTTGTCAATAGACATCTTAACCCAAAGTTAAAGTAAACTACTAACAAATTTGTCCCAAAACACACTTTTTTGTAAAAATAAACTTTTTAAAGCCTACATCCACTAGAAATGTTTGCATTTTTTTTTAATTCCAGGGGGAGCAGTAATTCTTTAAAGAAAACATTTGATTTATTTCAAAACAATTTTTCAGAAGGAAATGCATTTTTAAATAAACATTAAAAGTTTAAAAAGTCAATTACAAAATTTTTTGCCAGAAGCTGAGGATGGATCACTTGATGATTACCTGTTCTGTTCATTCCCTCTGGGGCACCTGGCATTGGCCACTGTCGGACGACAGGATACTGGGCTAGATGGACCTTTGGTCTGACCCAGTATGGCTGTTTTTATGTTTGATCATTTCAAAATGTTTGGTTTTGTTAAGTTTCAAAACAAACTCAAAACTGCAGAATTTCCCACAAAACAGAAAACCCAGGTCCTATTTAATGGCCGTGGCATTCTAAAATCAGAACACCTATTCAGCACACTTGGTGCATAAATCCAGGTGATTTACAAGCAGTTCATGGATATATGCATAAAATACCGACAGTACTTTTAATTTTTACGTTTCTAATTTCAACTAGCATCCTACAGAATCAATATCTAAATGTCCAAGATGTCTTACGGATATGTTTTTAATATGGTAGTTTTCTGCTGTTGCAGTCACAGATCTTACAAGTCATGAAGTATCTCATTGTGAAATAGAAGGTGGTGTGTGAAAAAAATTATAGAAAAGGTAAAGAATTCTAATATATTTTTCATAGTAAAATCTGGCCTTGAGTGTTTATTATGAAATTGTCACATTACCACATCTATTAAAATCTAATTTATGAGGACTATTTTAGCACTAGATCTTATTGCCTGGTACTACTGCTAGCATTTTTAAGTAAAAAGAACATTAAGACAAAATACATGATTTATTAAACTAACTTGTATTTTTTACATTGAAACTGTTATCCAAGCAAGAAAAGTCAATTTAGCTATGTCTACACCAGTTTAAAAGAATACTTTTCCAGAATGTATACTGCACAAGGATCACAAATGCTAGTTTTCAGTGCTACAAGAAATAAGGGAGTCTGCACTTTTTCAGCAGTTAGCTTCCCAGATGCTATCCCAACACTTCCATTATGATGTGTGCTTCAAAGAAATTGGTGAACTAGCAGAGAGAAAAAAAATCACCTGCATCCTGCCAAACTTCCCCTTCTTATTTTTCATACCAAAACTTTTTAAACAAGTGTTCTGAAACTGTGACAGGATGAACACACTTATATTTACTCAGCTAAAACCAATCGCTTCTTTCTTCTTTACAAAATAATTGATATTTTCTGGCAAATTGTATGGTTAGGCTCATATCCAAAGTTTGTAAGCAAGATGTGGTTTTCTATCTTCCCTGCAGCTCATTCAGCTTCTAATTAAATTCACTGCACCTGTGCTGAAAATCATGCCCAATAACTTATTCAGAGAGCAGAACAGGTCATGCTAACTCAGAATGTGAACAGCTTAACTTTCTAGAACTAGCACTACACAGAAGGAAAGAGTGAGTTAAATTATGATTGATATTTCATTCTTTGCATGTTTTTATTAAATTCAATGGATCAGTAAGTTTTTTTTAAACTTGAGTGTTGTACTGTATATCTGCTAGGGAAAAGGAGACAGCAAATAGTTACTATTTGCAGAGGATTGGTTTTCTGATTGATGTACTAACACTTGGTAGTAAAATGTCAACTTTGCTGAGTATCTACTGTATAGCCTCCAATTTAAAAAAAAACAAAAAAACTCCCAAAGGCCAAGCCAAAATGGTTGAGGTCTGTAAAATTAAGGATGGAGTCTTTGAAAGACATCCATTTGTTATTCCAAAAGTCTTCTGCCAGAAGTATTTTTTTATTTATTTTTTTAAATCTTCCAATTATCATAAAATGAAATGTTAGCTACCATATCATGTATCAAGTCCTGCATCTTTGCTTCATAGGAGCCACAGGAGGCGACCAGCCCAACTGACCACGGAGAATCCGAAGTCTCATGGGAGACCCCAACACAGATACTGGTAGGACCCCTCTCCCCCCCCCCCCCCCCCGGCTGAGTTAGTGGCAAGTTGCTACTGTTACAGAGGCAGCCACACCCCTTGGTGGGCGCCCCACCCCCACTGAACTCTGGCTGCTAGGCCATACTGCCCTGCACCCAAGGGCTGGTCCATTGACTGGCCGCTAGGCCGCGCTGCCCTGCACCCAAGGGGCATAGACCGTCACACATGGTGGAGAATGTGGGCAACGCCCGGGACCAGCTGAAAGGTCCAGGGGAAGGAATCTAGACGACGGGAGCCCCACTGCCATCCAAGATGGATACCGAGAAGCTTCTAAAGTGGATGCTGGAGAGTCAGCAAGAGCAGGCGGCCCAACAGCGACAGCAACAGGCTCACATGATGCAGCAGATGGCGAGCCAGCATCAGGAACAGCAGCAGCAACTCCTTCGTGACTTGGCTGCCCAGCAACAAGTACAACAAGAATGCCTGGTCCAGCAAGTGGCAACTCTATTACGCCCACTGGGAGCCCCAGCCGCCACGCCCACAGGGGCGGGATCTGGAGAGACTTTGGCGGGGCTGCCGATATGCCTCACTAAGATGGGGCCAGGGGACAACCCCGAGGCGTTCCTGGTCACTTTCGAGCGGGTCGCTACAGCCGCCCAGTGGTCCCTGGAGCTGCCT